CCGCTGCTCCCTCTATCAGAGGCAGCAGTGTGGGGTGGAGGGCAGGTGGCACCGTGGATGGTACAGAGGCAGCAAGGGGTGGGAGATGAGTAGTCAACTCGACTACTCACTTAGGTTACATTACATCCACTCTGCGGAGCTATTTCGAAATAGTTATTCCGTGTCCTTAAAGCAGCCCGTTATTTCAAAATCTGTTTAGAAATAACAGGCGCGCTGTGCTGGTGTCCCTATAACCCTTGTTCCACAAGGGATGTTTTGGAATAACGCTTTATTTCAAAATTACTTCGAAATAAGCGTCGCAATTTGCATAGTGCAAATTGCATAGCTTATTCTGAGGTAAGGGATGTACCCTTACAAATTGCGTAGCTTATTCTGCTTGCAAATTGCATAGCTTTTTCTGAGTGTAGATGCACCCTTAGGGTATGTCTACACTACAAAGTTAGTTCGAACTAACTTTAATAGGTGCTACACTAGCGCTCCGCTAGTTCGAATTTGAATCGAACTAGCGGAGCGCTTAGTTCGAACTAGGTAAACCTCATTTTACGAGGACTAACGCCTAGTTCGAACTAGCTAGTTCGAACTAAGGGCTGTGTAGCCCTTTAGTTCGAACTAGGGGGAGGCTAAGGCTTCCCAGGTTTCCCTGGTGGCCACTCTGGCCAACACCAGGGAAACTCTATGCCCCCCTCCCGGCCCCGGACCCCTTAAAGGGGCACGGGCTGGCTACGGTGCCCGTGCCAGGTGCAAGCCTGCCAGCACCCAGCTAGCAGACCCTGCACCTGGCACCCCTCTCCCCAGGCCCAGGCTGGCGGCTCCCGGGAGCTTGCCCAGGACCGCAAGAAGTGGGCACCTTCCTGGGCTAGTGCAGACATAATGGACCTTGTCCACGATCTCTGCACTAGGCACAGGAAAGTGGCCGTCTAGGGCAGGAGAGCTGCCAGCCTGGCCACCCAGGACCAGGTGTGCATGAAAATCAAGGGGGTCCACTGAGACCCCCGACCCTGAGCCCTGAGCTTACAATGGCCGTACTGGGTCAGACCAAAGGTCCATCTAGCCCAGTAGCCTGTCTGCCAACAGCGGCCAACCCTAGGGACCCTGGAGGGGATGGACCGAAGACAGTGATCAAGCCATTTGTCTCGTGCCATCCCTCTCCAGCCTTCCACAAACTTTGGGCAGGGACACCACTCCTACCCTCTGGCTAATAGGACTCCATGGACCCAACCTCCATGACTTGATCTCACTTCCCTTTAAACTCTGTTCTAGTTGTAGCCTTCACAGCCTCCTGCAGCAAGGAGTTCCACAGGTTAACTATTTGCTTTGTCAAGAACAACTTTCTCTTACTAGTTTCAAGCCTGCTACCCATTCCTTTCCTTTGGTGTCCTCTAGTCCTTCTTTATGGGAACTCATGAAGAACTTTTCTGAATGCACCCTCTCCACCCAACCCCTGCTTTTAGAGACCTCTATCCTGTCCCCCCTCCGTCTCCTCTTTTCTAAGCTGAACAGTCCCAGTCTCTGTAGCCTCTCTTCATCTGGGACCTGTTCCCAACCCCTGATCATGTTAGTTGCCCTCCCCTCTCCCAGCCTTTCTCTTCCCCTCTCCCACCTCCTTTTCCCAGTCTCCCCCAGTTTTTTTCAATAAAGACAGAGTCAATGTTGGAAGAAACGTTATCTTTATTTTGTACATCAATAAGAAGGGGGGCTAGGGAAGGGTAAGTGGAAGGAGGTGAGGGAGGAATGGGGTACGAGCCCCCGATGGGGAGGACTGGGCTGGCTCTGCGGGCTTCTGGGGGTGGAAGCTCTCCTGCAGCCCCCCAATTACTCCCTCTCCCCAGATGGCAGCCTGCGGCAAGTGCAGCCGGGCTGATGGCCGAGTGGTGTGATGTGCCCAGTGTGGGCACTCAGGGCACTCCAAGCCAGAACTTCTTTGCAAGCGGGGCACCCCTTAGAACTGTGTGTCCGGGGTGGGGGTCGGGACCCTTTAAGCGCAGCCCTCGGCTAGCCTGAGACAGTATCTCCATGCTCTAAGTCCTCCTTTTATGCCCTGCCGGCACTGCTTCCGGCCATCCTTAAGCCCTGTTCAGAGTCCACTCAATGTGGACTTACTAGTTCGAACTAGCAAAACGCTAGTTCGAACTAGTTTTTAGTTCTAGATGCGTTAGTTCGAACTAGCTTAGTTCGAATTAACTAATTCGAACTAAGTTAGTTCGAACTAGCGCTGTAGTGTAGACGTACCCTCACATCCCTAACTTGGATTACTTGTGATTTATGTCTGGCTCTGTTTGGATGGAAATTTAAAATTCAAGTAAATGCCCGGAAACATTTAAAAAAGTATTGTTAAACACAGCCACCTTTGATATGCTGATGGATACGACCAAAAGTTTATCCAAACACATTTTGCATATAAAACTACATTCTTTATTTAAACAAAGGAGGTATTTGCTGTCGTTAGTGACATGAATTGATGCTAGGTCACAAAAGCTTTCAGTGTTTTACAACTAGTAGGTCTCTTCATACACCTCGCTTTGTTCGTAGACGGGAAGAGGAAAACAAGCTTTCCTGCTTTCTCAGTTCCTAAGGGGTTTCTTCACTTTGAATGTGCTACTTGAATAAACTGAACTGAATACATTCTCTCCCTGCATCTGCAGAAGAGGCTGCTGGTGTCAAAAGCCGGGTTAGCACTCGAAGCACTGGATCCAAGTGCTTGGCTTCCGACAGTTCAGCGTTTCCCCTTTCTTTAAAATTTGGTAGCAAGTGTGCTGCTTCGGAGCATTGTTTTAATTCATTGAAATGATTCATAATACGTTTCATAGCTACATGGTAAATGTTAGGGCTTAACGTAGGGGGTCACAATGTCACATTAGGTTTTGTAAATAAACCTGTATTTAGTTTAAATAAAAGCCCCTGATTGACATAAAGAATTGTGGTTATTTGTTAAATGCTTGGTTTATATCCATTCTGCCTCAACCACTCGACCTCCTTCCGCTTTGTGTGTATGTGCGTGGGAGGAGAAAAGTCAGTCCAGGGTCACTAGAGAGATTGAGAAATAATGGCCCCGGGAAGGGATGTGACTTTCAAACAGAGCATGGGAAGTTGGGGTGTAGGGGGGGCTGCAGCACCTCCAGGTTTTACACCCAGCTTCCCTGCTCCCAGAGGCCGGCCGTGCGGCTGACCGGCTGTCCCAGCCTCCAGGAGGCCCCAGTGGGATCCTGCTGAGTTTCTAGGGTTCCACTGGCTCCTCTGCTGGCCTGCCGGCTCTGTTGGCCCTTGGGGTTTCACTGCTCACTGGCTCCGTCCCATGGGATCCTCAGCTTGCTGGCCCCAGCGTCTAGGCCACCGGTCCTGGCGGCTCTGCTCCCGCCAAGGCCCCGCTGCCAGCCTGGGAGCTCCTAGGCTCAGCTGGGGCTCAGCTGTTGCCCCCAGCTGTAGCTCATCTATGGGTGGCAAGGGACCTGACGGACTGGACACCACTGCCACAAATGGCATCCGGTCTGGGAGAGTTGGTAACCGTTCCGGTGCTGCTGCTTTCAAAATCCTGTGGGAAACTGAGCTGCGAGGTACGCTTTGTGCGGGGGCATTGTTCCTTCCAGCCCAGGTTCTACAGGCACTTTCCATTTGGCGGGTAGCGTGTGGCATTCTCCCTGTTTTAGAGATGGGGAAACCGAGGCACAAAGACATTGGTACTTGGCCAGTGTCCAGTTAGAGCCAGATGTGGAAATCAGGCCTCCTGACTCCCCTGTTCCGAGCACGACAGTGCTTCTAGTGGCACTCGGGGGCACGCCCCGTTCGCCAGCCCTCCAGATGCAGAGCGGCTGGCGTTTTGCACTGGAGGTAACAGGGCCTGTCTGTTTGTCCTTTACAGAGCGTCGAGATGGCGAGCCTGCTGTCCAAGCGCCTGGGGAAGCGCTCCCTGCTGGGCACCCGCGTCTCCACGCCCAGCGCCTTCTCGGACAGGATGCTGGGGCCGGGCCAAATCCCCGCGTTGCAGGTGGAGCTCAGCCGAGTGTCTCCCCAGCTGGCTTCGTATGAGGGTGGTCAGTGCAAGGAGCAGGCAAAGGAGAGTGGCCTGACGCCCAGCTTCCCAAACCTGGACCGCTTACAGCTCCACCCGGGACAAAGAGTACGTAGGCGGCTGTTTGTGCGGTGCTGACCGGCAGCGTTCATCCCTGGCACCTGGGGGCGCGTCTTCGCTGCAGAGCTAGCCTGTCTCCCCAGCTGGCTTCGTATGAGGGTGGTCAGTGCAAGGAGCAGGCAAAGGAGAGTGGCCTGACGCCCAGCTTCCCAAACCTGGACCGCTTACAGCTCCACCCGGGACAAAGAGTACGTAGGCGGCTGTTTGTGCGGTGCTGACCGGCAGCGTTCATCCCTGGCACCTGGGGGCGCGTCTTCGCTGCAGAGCTAGCCCGGGCTGTAGCCCAGATGTTCCCTCCCCCCTTCCGTCCACACAGAAAGAGCCTCTAGCCACGGCTTGTGCTCCTCAAAGCAGGCC